CAACCACTGCGCCACCAGGGAAGCCCGATTTATTTACTTTTTATCTCTTTCCCATTAGACTGGCAGCTCCCCAAGAGCAGGGACGCTCTTTTCCCCAGCACCTGAGGCAGTCCCCACCACATAGTGGAGCTCAGGAAATAGTGGTTGAGGGGATGGATGGAAGAACTGGACTCATAAGGGCCTGAGGCTGGCCACAAGAAAGGCAATTGTTTTTCCTAGAACCTACCTTTCCTAAGGCAGACACTGTGGATACCAACGATGTGGCAAATGACAGGACTGAGACAAGGTAGGGTGCCATGGGGCCAGCTCTGGGGACTCGGAGAGGGCTTCTTGTAGAAGCTGACACCTGAGTTGAGTGTTGAGGTGGGTCAGAGTTAGCCGGGGAAGGAGGCTGGAAGGGCAGCCCGAGATAAGGGGAGGAGCGAGGGCAAACACACAGAGGCAGGAGACAGCATGGGTGGTGCAGGAAACTTCACTCCTTGCTGGATTGCTAAATGCAAATCAGGGAGATGGGAGCGGCTGCCGAGAGGTTAATTGGGGCCAAGTCCGGAAGGCCTGGTGTGCTGCGCTAAGGGGCCTGGCCTTTCTTCCTCAGGGAGGGGCCAGCCTTGGAAGTTTGAGAGCAGGGGCATGACTTGGTCAGATTTCATTTTTGCAGACTCCGTGGTTGCCCTGGGGTGAGGAGATCTAAGGCAGTGGTTTGCAAGCCCTATGCAGTAATATCACCTGGGGAGTGTCTAAAACGTATTGAACCCAGGTGCTACCCCAGACAAAGTCAGAATTTCTGGGGATGAGGCCCAGGCACTGGGTTTTTGTTTTGTTTTGGGGTTATTTTTTCTGGTTTTTCTTTTAAATAATTTTTTAATCGAAGCTCACATACATCTAGAAACAAGTACAAATCATAAGTGAGCTGCTGATACATTATGACAAAATGAGCATACCCACATAGCATCCAGGTAAGGAACAGAATATAATCAGTACTCAGAGGCTCCCTCCTACCCTCTTCCAGTTCTATCCACTCCCCAGTAAGACCATGGATTTATTTGCTTGTTTTTGAAATTTATATATATGGTTGCATGTTGTTGAAATTTTATTCTCATTGCTGTGAGGTATTCTATTTTATGAATGTGCTGTTTGTTTGTCCCTTCTGCTTTTGGTAGACATTTGGGGAGTTTCCTGTTTGGGGGCTATGAATAGTGCTGCTATGAAAATTCTTGTTGTATCCATCTTTTGGTGAACCTTCTGTATACCTTTCTGTTGGGGAGATATACGTAGGAGTAGAATTTTGGGGCCATAGGGAATACATGTGTTCAGCTTTAGTAGATATACCAAGGTTTCCCAAAGTGGTTGTAGGTATTAATTGTTTTTAAGAGTCCCCAGATAACTGTAATACACAGCCAGAGCTATTCTAATGGCTGTAAGCCTGGAGACAGGGAAACCAGTTAGGAGGCTAGCGTTGTTACTCAGCGCCCAGGGAGATGCTAATGTTAGCTGAGAGTAAGATTTCCACAGAAGAGGGAGCGGGCAGCAGTAGAGGAATAGGCGTCAGAAAAGAGGAGAAAAAACTGTTCATAAGAAGACAAAAGAAAAAGGAAGAGTGGACTTCCCTGGTGGTCCAGTGGCTAAGACTCTGAGCTCCCAGTGCAGGGGGCCCGGGTTCAATCCCTGGTCAGGGAACTAGATCCTGCGTGCCGCAACTAAGGCCCGGCACAGCCAGATAGATAGATGGATAGATAGGTAAATAAATATTTGAAGAAAAGAAAAGAAAAGAAAAAAAGGAAGAGAAAAAATTCCCTAGTGCCGTTGGTATTTCTGGCTTTGCGGAAGTCTCTGGAGAAGGATGCATAAACTGTTCAGAGAGGAGGGGCAGGAGATGCAACAGTTTCAAGTGTGTTTGTTGCCACAGTGGGGTACTCAGGGTGTGAGCCAAAGCCTGCAGACACTATGTCATAGGACTCTAATTATGAGACATGAATTCACTGGTTACGCATGTGCTTATCAGGCTGGGAGCAGGGAGGCAGCGTGGCGCTGTGGCCAGGACGCTTGGCAATTAGACCCGTGTTCTAATCCTTGTTCTGCCACTAGCTGGCTGTGTGATCTTGGGCAGATTGTTCCATGTCTCTGTATTTTAGTTACAGAGCATTCTGGCTAGATGACCTCTAAGAGCCAAGGTCTATCGGTTCGTCATTTATTTTATGTCACTTTAGGGGTGAGATTCCAGGAAGAAGACGACCTGAAAAGTTGGCATGATGCTATAGCTTTATATCTGAGATGGTTTTGGAGGAAAACACTGGACCCTGTAATTATTTCCACAAATCACATAGCACAGGATAACATACTCATAGATGATTTTAGGTTTGTTTTGCTTTGCGTTGCTTTGTTTTTTAAATTTGGGTTATGGCTGGGACAGAGTGGTTGGGGGGCCGTGGACAGTCTTGTAGTATTAATAATATGACAGTGTTCATCTTTTGTTTTCAGATCTAAATCCCTTCTGCTCGCTTTTATGAAATAGAAGCCTCTCACCTGTGTGAATGGGAAGACCTACCGAGCTGTTTTGGAAGAGAAAGGCCAGAACTACATTAAATCATGCAGAATGTGACAAATGGGCCCTGTAATGTTCAAGTCATCAATATGGCCATCGACCCCCAGGAGACTTGTGGGGGGTCCTGGCACTGAGCAGGCTCAGAACTGCCCTGAGGTAGGAAGACCATGCCCTGAAGGGGATGCTGGGAGGGAAAGGCTAGGGCTCAGCATTCCTGCCCCTCCTTGGAGTCTGTGGATTCCCCCGAGGTCACAGGGGGAGAAATGGACCAGGCAGAGAGATCCAGTCTTTGTGGGGGTGTGGGGAGGGGATTTTAAAAGGAATGAAATTGAGTGACTCAGCCACTGAAAGACACCTGGACTTCAAAGCAAAAAAGTCTTCAAAAGAAACATAACTGCTCTCAGGAATTGTTTTCACTTCGATTTAAAAAACTACCGTGGAGGTAGGGTTGGGAGGGAACTCAAAGGTATTCTGATTGCAGTTCTGAGTCCTGGACTGACAGGAGATCAGGAGGGGGCAGAATGTGGTGTCAACAGGAGGAAAACACCAGGAAAACAAAAGCAGAGGAAGGCTGAGTCTGCAATTAAGGAGGCCAAGGAGAAAACCTCCTTATGTGCTGTTCTGAGAAGAGGAGGAGGTGGCGTAGCTAAGGAGAAAGACAATATTGTGAGTCAGCCGAGTAGGATACCGGGCTCGCTGGCGGAGCTGACAGGTGTGGGAATGTTTGCACAGCGGTGCCTGGCAGAGCCGCAGCAGGCCTGAAACTGCAATGAGAGGAGCAGGCGTGTGGATTGTTTAGTCACCATGGGAGAGATGAGGGAGCAGGCAGGTTGGCGTGGGGATTGGGTTACCCGCAGAGCCTAGATCAAAAGAAGCCAGTGGGTTGGAAAGGCATTCACTTGCTCCGTGCAAGAGGATACAGCGCTCAGGGTTACTCGTCGAGCTCTGTGCAAACACAGCTGACTGTCCAGTCATGAGTGGCCAGTTGTAAAGGGCAGAGCAAGCCACAAGGCCGGGTTGTCCCTGTGGCCTCTGGGCTGTATGTTCATTTCGTAAGGTCCCCTTTTTCCCCATTAGGGCTAGAATAGGTGGCAGCCTGGGAAAACAGGCTGTGAGTGGCTCTTTTCTTTTTGATGTTTAAAGAAATAATAGTTGGGACCGTGTGGATTATTGTGCTGGGTGCGGTACACACATTAGCTCAGTCTTCTAAGACCTGTGTCATTTTTGTTGTTTTTGTAGATATTGATAGAAATGGCCAGAGAGAGATCATTGGCCCAAGGTCACACAGTAAGGGGTTCATGCTGATATTTTCATCCAGTCTATCTGATGACAAAATTATCCCCCGACAGCACTGGGGCATTACCGAAAGAATAGAATCTGTCTGCGCAAATACGTGAGCTGCCATTTGGAGCTCTGGGGAGAAGGGAGCCACATCAGCCGGTAGGTTTTTCGTTGTGGGAAAGAGTCAGCTTCCTCGGGTTTCCCCTTGACCCAAACCCACTCGACCCTCAGGCACTGACCATGTTATTCCAGAGAGCGATGGCCATCTCAGCATGCCCGCGTTCTGAGAAGTGGAAACAGTCCTCGGAGAAGAAGGTGAGGTCAGCGCCTCCTCGCTGTGACCAAAGGCAAGGGGATTATCTTCCTGGGACGAGGGCACTGCTACCCCCCCATCCCGCGGCATCCTGGGCATTTCAACTTTCATCCTTGCAACTCTGCTGCCAGTTGGCTCAGATGTTGATGGAGAAATTCCCTGGTTTTGGAATTTTTACTTTTTAAAAATTATAGCCCCCTACAGTCCACATCCCTTTTCCTTCAGCATCCCTGCTCTAATGGTTGAAAAAGAATAATAATATTTTTAGGAAGCTTTCCATTTTATCCCAACCCAGCAAATAGCAGGGCCATGTCTGGGGAGCTTGGTCACTGTTAATTTTCACCTTTTCTTTCCAAGTACATCTAAGTTCAAGTTATACTCAGAAAAGGTGGGTGCAGGGGAAAGGAGGAAAAGCAGAAACAGCAACCCTTTGGGAGTGCTCTTGGAGAGAGAGGGTCCAAAAAAGCCCATGTAGAAAAGGAAATACATTGCCTAAGATACGGCCTCTGTACACGCACCTCCCAGACACGCCCGCAACTTACGTCATTCAGGGGGACAAGAGTGTTTTGGAAGAAAGGCTGCACAACCACGGCGAAGTCCTCACGCTGCAGGTACTGGTAGGAGAGCCTGGAGAGGCGACTCTGGGGATGGGGAGAGAGGCTGCTTAACCGCCCGCAAGACGGGCAGACGGTCTGTTCCTGTGGGCTTGGGTGGGTCACGGCAGGGGCAAGGGACTCAAAGGAGCCGCTCTAGCGCCTGAGCATCTATTTAGTCTGCACCAGGTGGGGGCGCCACCCGGCTCTGCCCTGACGTCTGCTTGGGCCCAAGGCCGCCTCTGCTCTCACTTCATGAAGAGATGAATTAGAACACGGGGCCTCAGTTCAAACGGGGAGCATTTCAACACCAGCTCCTCAAAATGCCTGTGACGTTGGGGGTGAGTATCCACGGTCTTTGCATTTCTTAAGTGCCAAAAGGTGGACTGTAAAAGGGATAGACTAGCTGTGCTCATCCTCCAGAAACGTATTCATCTGGGAGATGGAAAAATCAAAACCAGGTAGGGCTTGAGGGGCAGTGAAGTGCTGACTGAAATTGCCGGGGGTGCTTCGTGGGGGGGAAGCTTCTCAGAAGAGGTAAGAAGACAAGCCCTGTGCATGAGATGGATACACTGCGGAAAGGCCCAGGGCACGGCAGGTCCAGGGAAGGCACAGACGGACGTGAGAAGCTAAAGGAGGGAGGAGCCCCAGGGTAGTGAGCACAGCCCCTCTCCCCTCTGGGAGCTGAGACGTGGGCGTTCTCCCCAGCTTCCCTTCTGAGCTTCTCACTCCCCGCCCCTGCCTTGGTGTCTGATTCACCTGGACACATATTTCAGGGGCTGTGATCTCAGTAGAGCCCTCACTCCAGGAGTAAAGATGGGGGGGTGGTAGGGAGAAGAGGTGGGGGACAGGGTCACCTGGAAGTCCCAGTTCACTGTCTTCAGTTCTTGCAGCATCTCCAGGGAGTTCTCCTGGGAGCCTCGGAGGCAGGTGCAGTTGTTCCTGTGAGATAAGGAGTCCTGAGGCTCGGTGCCCCCAGGAGGCTGCCCCCCCCCCCAACGGAGGTGTCCCCAAAACACAGCCTTGCTTCCTCTTGGGCCCGGATCACAGAACCATAGCTCAGGGGCAGGAGGTCTAGAAGGTGCTTGTTGGGAGAGAAGGTGGACGGGCTGGCACCAATGCCCGGGTCTCCTGTGGACGGGCTGCCTGTTCCCCTGGCCGCCTGACTGCTCCTTCCCAAGCGTGCAGCTCCTGCCTGGGGTTTCTCCACGAGGGCTGGGGTTTGGGGAAGACGGCCAAGGTGGCCCAGCCTTTCTTCCTCATGCTCCTGAGGCCTCCCTTCTCTACCTTTGGCTGCTTGGGACTCTCCCACAGGGCTCCGGAGTGAGGGGGTCTCTTGGGCAGCAGTGGCCACTCCGAGAATAGGAACCAGCTGGTCACCTTCCCAGCGAATCCATTTGACCCCAGATAGGACAGGACTCCTCAGCTCCCTGTAGAATCTGCTCCCCCCTAACAATGGTCACAGGAACTCTGGGCGAACCTCTGGCCTCAGAAGATGGCAACTTCCTGCAGGGTCACAGCTGAGCTTTAATAAATTCCAGCCCCAGCAGAAATTCTTGCACATTGTTAGCTCCAAGCCTGGCTTTCATGGACAGTCCTATCGAGCACGTTAAAAAAGGTACTATTTCCTGAGCACCTGCCCCACAGCGACGAGGTACTTTATTTGCTCTTCCGCTAGACCTCACCGCTACCTCCCAAGTGAGGAGTAAGAGGCCCAGAGAGGTTGCGTGGTTTGTACAGGGTCCCACAGCTCCTAAGATGGCAGAGCCAGGATTTGAGGCCTGATAGAGCTGTCCTGAAAGCACATTGCCTTGTGTTGCCTCTCAAACAGGAACAAACAACTTGCTGAAGTTGGGGTTTGGCATCACAGACAATGTCAGGGGCCCTCACGGGTCATCTGTCTGCCTCACTTTCCAGAAAAGCAAACTGGGGTCCAGGGAAATAAAGTGACTTGCGTACAGTAGGCATTCAATAAGGTAGCAGCATTTCTGAATGGTTTTCCAAGCCCCTGGCTAATTGCTGATGTCTGCTCCCCAGACAAGAAGGTCTGGCTCCACCCACTGACATCTAAGCCCTGCTCTCCCCAGGTGCCCTCCCCCTGGGCCCACGTACGTCTACTTACTGGGCTGCCAGTGGCATGACACATTTCCCACCTTGGCCCTGGTGCAGGCCAGCCAGCTCCATGACCTCTACCACGTTGATGAAAGCCCTTGGAAGCTGTGGGCAGAGGGGTGGGCTTCAGTAGTCCCCAGGCACTTGTGGGGGGGCACTGGTTACTGCTGGAAAGAGCTTGGGGGATCCTCTACAATCTACTTCCTCCTCCCCAACTTTACCAATAAACTGAGGCCCAGAGAGGGAACGTGCCTTATATTATCCCGTGGAATCTCCCTTATTGGCCCCGCTTTATAGACTGGGAAACCGAGACACAAGGCACTTGCCCAAAGGCACATCTCTAAGCCACAGTACCTGGCTACAAATCAGGCCGACTGGCTCCAGAAGCCAGCTCGCTCTTTGCCACCAAACAGATGCAGTCGGATCCAGTTAGAATCTTCCCCGCAGAGGAGCTAGGCAGCTGCCTACCCACCCCGCCCCGCCCATCCCATCCAGGGACCTGCTCACGGAGGAGCGGGGGTGGGGGGGGGTGGGGCTCTGCTTGGCGTGCATCTCACTGGACACATCTAGATGCACACGGGTCACAGCCCCTGGGGAGCAGCCTGGTTGCCACCAGGAAATAGGACCCAGGATTGTGCTGCCCCTGTGCTGTCTTACCTCCTCATAGAAGATGCCCAGGGCCTGCTGGATGTGCCGAACATACTCGCTGGCTGTGTGGGCCCCCTGTGAAGAAGCAAGGGGCTCTCCTCAGCTCCTGGCAGGAGGAGGAGAGTGGCCTGAGGCCAGCACAGGAGGGCACTGCATGGGCTGGGAAGCCCAGCCCTTACTGCTGGTGGACACAGTCTCTTGTAAGAAGTCATCCCTTGACTCCTACTAGGTACCATGAACAATCCCCACCCCACCCTGCTCCCGGCTCCTCTAACCCAGAGCCTGTCAGTGCTGGACCCCACTGCCGCTCCAGTCCCATCCGTTCCCCCGCCTCTCCTCCTCCAACCAGGACAGAGCCCCTGGTGGCCATGCTGTCTCTTTCCTCTGGGCTTTGGTCCGTGCTGGCCCCACTGCCTGGGGCCCTCTGCACTGCCTCCCCCTCACTCCCATCCCTGTAACTCAGGTCAAGGGTCTCCTCCTCTGGCCCATCTCCCAACTGGAAGCTGATTTAGCCCCTTCCTAAAACATAGCTGGAGTTAATCCTGATGGAGGCCCCAGGTCTTTCCACAGAAAGCTGCTCTCAGGATCATAAACCTGACTGTTTGCATGAGGACAGGTATTCTGGGGTCACTTCTGGCTCCCTGGACCCCAACGAGTGCAGGACACAATAGCATTTAAAACCCCATGGGACTAGGTCGCTTCTGCCTCTGGAGTCTCGGCAGGGAGGGAGAAAGCCCCTGGGTGGGGGGAGGCCAGTTCTCATCCAGAATTTGGTCACCGTCTGTGAGCCAAAGGAATGATAAATGCCTTCTCCTCGCTGCCTGTGACTGTCAAATATTCTACCACAACCTCTGAATTATGGAAGCTGCTTTTTCTTTTTCTTCTGGCCAAATAAAATATAGCACATCCTCAACTTAGAACAAGATGTATTCCAAAAGTTATTACTTCCCACAGTTTGTAAGTCTGGACATATTTCCCCTTAGAAACGACATTAGGAGTGGGTTGGGTTCCCGGGCCGGCAGAGTTTGTTAACGCGTGTTGTCCTTGAAGGAGCAGTAAGCCATCGATCAGGAACAGTTCAACTGAATCAACCCTATTTATGGCATTGTTTCATCCTCCCCCTGCAACCTCCCCACCACCAAGAGAGGCCCAAAAAAGTGGGCAGGGACTCTAAGCAGGTGAGGGTGGGGCTCCCTAGTTATCCACTGGATACCAGAGAACAGTATTTGTGTGCGGAAGCGAGGCCGCCTTGGCAGTGCCTGAAGAGTGGGGACATCCAGACACTTCTGGAATCAGGGGACCAATGCAGCAGCCACTCAGCAGTGGGAAAGGCAGGCCTCTCCTGGCATGTGTGAGCTGGGGCTTCCTGGGCAGACTCAGGTGCCTAGGAGAGCCGGCCCGTGTGCCTCCCGTGAGGGAGGTCCCGGCCCTGGGCCTGGATGGTGACCTTGGCCAGCAGCTCCCCTCTCAGGGCCCCCAGGGGGCTGCTCGGGGGCCTACCGGATTCTCGCAGTAATGGCACAAATCGTTGCTCCCAATGAACAGGGTGATGAGCTTCCAGTCCTTCTGTAGGTTGATTTCCTGAGGGGACAGAAGATCCCAGTTAGGCCTTGGTGGGGGGCACGTGCATGTGCCAGACGGCCCCCCAAGTGCCTTTTCCTCTCTTTGTATCACAGTGGAGAGAAGATGCCGAGTGCAGGCTCTCCTGCCCTCGCCCTCACCTTGGTGCTGGGGCAAGGACTCTGCCAAAGTGTGTGTGTGTGTGTGTGTGTGTGTGTGTGTGTGTGTGTGTGTGTGTGTGTGTGTGTGTGTGTGTGTGTGTGTGTGTGTGTGTGTGTGGTGTGTGTGTGTGTGTGTGTGTGGTGTGTGTGTGGTGTGTGTGTGTGTGTGTGTGTGTGTG